ACTTCCTGACTCCCCAAGTCCTATCTACCAACTACAAGTCAGGAGTATGATGGAGTACTCCCAAATGCCTGGATGAGTGCAGTTCCAACAACATTTAAGAAGCTTCACACCATCCCAGACTTGCAGAAGGCATTTTTTACGACGTGCCATATAAAAGATGGATGGAGGAGGGGGGGGGGGGGGGGGGGGGGGGGGGCGGTAAGAGTAAAGTATTGGCTTGATAGAGGATTGGCTGACTGACAGAAACCAGAGGGTTGGAATAAATGGGTCCTTCTCTGGATAGTGAACTGTAACTAGTGGGGTGCCACAGGGTTCAGTTCTCCAACCTCAACATTTTATAGCCTTCATAAAAGATCTCCAGGCAGGGACAGAGTGTTACAAAGCAAAGTTCACAGGTGATACTAAAACAGGTTGGAAAGAAGGCAGCAATGAGGAGATGAAGAGTTTACAGATCGATATTGATAATCTATGAGAATGAGTAGTAGCTGGACTTTAATGTGTAAAGTGTGAGGTTGTCCATTTTGGCCAGAGAAACAATAGGGCAAATTATTATTAAAATGGGAAGCAGATTCAAAATGTGTCAGTGTGGAGGGATCTGTGCGTCTTTGTGTATGAATCACAGAAAGTGGGTATGCAGGTGCAGCATATAATAAGAAAAGCAAATGGAATGTGGCATTTATTACAAAAGGACTGGATTATAAAGTAAAGAAGTGTTGTTACAATTACATAAGGCATTGGTGAGACCACACCTGGAATATTGTGTCCAGTTTTAGTCTCCTTATTTGAGGAAGGATATGGAGGCACTGGAGGCAGTTGAGAGGAGGTTCACCAGGTTGATCTCAGGGATGAAAGGGCTGTCATACAAGGAGTAGTTGAATAGCTTGGGCTTGTACTTGCTAGAGTTCAGAAGAATGAGGCGGGATCTGATTGAGGTATATTAAATGCTAAAGGGGATTGATAAAGGGGGATGTTGAACAGACATTTCCCCTGTTGGGTCAGACTCGAACAAGAGGTTATAGATACAGAGTGAGAGGAGGTAGGTTCAAAACTGAGGTGAGGAGAAACTACTTCTCTCAGAGGGTTGTGAATCTGTGGAACTCACTGTCCTAGACTGCAGAGGAGGCAAAATCAATCAACAGGTTCAAGAAAGAAATAGATATGTTTCTGACGAAAAGCGGGATAAAGGGCTAAGGTGAGCAGGCAGGAAAGTGGAGTTGATACCAGGATACGATCAGCCAACATCATGATAACATAAAAACATAGAAACATAGAAGATAGGAGCAGGAGGAAGCCTTTTGGCCCTTCAAGCCTGTTCTGCCATTCATCACAATCATGGCCGATCGTCCAACTCAATAGCCTAATCCTGCTTTCTCCCCATAACCTGTGATCCCATTCGCCTAATTGCTATATCTAGCCCCCTCCTGAATACATTCAATGTTTTGGCATCAATTACTTCCTGTGGTAACGAATTCCACAGGCTCACCACTCTTTGGGTGAAGAAATGTCTCCTCATCTCCGTCCTAAATGGTTTACTCTGAATCCTCAGACTGTGACCCCTGGTTCTGGACACACCCACCGTCAGGAACATCCTCCCTGCATCTACCCTGTCCGGTCCTGTTAGAATTTTATAAGTCTCTATGAGATCCTTCCCCGAACTCGCGCAAAAACAATCCTAACCTAGTCAATCTCTCCTCATACACCAGACCCGCCATCCCCAGAATCAGTCTGGTAAACTTTCGCTGCACTCTCTCGAGAGCAACAGCATCCTTCCTCAGAAAAGGAGAAAAAAACTGCACACAATATTCTAGGTGTGGCCTCACCAAGGCCCTGTATAACTGCAACAACACATCCCTGCTCCTGCACTCAAAACCTCTCGCAATGAAGTCCAACATACCATTTGCCTTCTTTACCACCTGCATGCTTACCTTCATTGACTGGTGCACAAGGACACCCAGGTCATACTGCACACTCCCCTCTCCCAATTTACAGCCATTCAGGTAGTAACCTGCCTTCTTGTTTTTGCTTCCAAAGTGAATAACCTCACATTTATCCAAATTATACTGCATCTGCCATTGATTTGCCCACTCACCCAACCTGTCGAGATCATACTGAAGGATCTCTGCATCCTCGTCATTGTTCATCCATCCACCCAACTTGATATCATCTGCAAACTTGGAGATGTTACAATTTGTTCCCTCATCCAAATCATTAATATATATTGAGAATCACTGGGGTCCCAGCACCGATCCCTGTGGCACCCCACTAGTTACTGCCTGCCAATTTGAAAAGGACCCATTAATTCCTACTCTTTATTTCTTCTCTGCCAACCAGTTTCCTATCCATCTCAATACACTTCCCCCAATCCCATGTGCTTTAATCTTGCACATTAATCATAAATGGCGGAGCAGGCTCAAAGGGCTGAATTACTAAGTCCTGCTCCTAATTCCTATGTTCCTGCACAAAACAGCCCTAATTTGATTACCACCACATCTGCAAACTCCCTGCATCATCAATACTTTGCAGCTGTAGTGTGCACCATCTACAAGATGCACTCAAAAATTCACCAAGCCTCCTTAGACTGCACCTTCCAAACCCACGACCATATACATCTAGAATAGCAAGACAATAGATGTATAGAGGCATTGCAAATGATAATCTGGATACTAACACATAAGAATTGAATCAGAGGAAAGCAGTCTCATCCAGCTGGCTAACAATACAGAAGTAATTAAAGAATCATATTAACATCTGCCGACAAGTCAAGAAAGACAAGGAGGGGCTTTACCTTTGTTACAGTAGCACAGGATTCCAGTTGTGATTTTGGTAGGAGTCTTGGAGGGGAAGAGACCCGATTGGAGAGATTCAAACACTAATTCCCAGGAAAGATAGGCACAAATTTAGGAGCTCTAAATCCTGTGAATGAACTAAAACAGTTCACTGTGGCTCAACAGTTTGAACACAGGCGTGGGGCACATTAATACTGGGCTGCAGTAAGGTAAAACATGGTTCCGAATCTAAGACTTAAACTTATTCAATGATTACTGTCTCTAGTATAAATTATCTCTGGTCCATAAGAATCTATTTTTATTGCTGATCTTCTATTACAAAAATGTCATGTTCTTAAATCCACTCCTTGTTTAATTCAATGGCATTACATTTCCAAGAGATAATGTGATGAATCTTAAGCCAAAAATGGATCGGTTGGGGTCAGTCAGATGCTAAAATGTTTAATAACATAGGTCATGCTTCAAAATAAGTTGGTATAAAGCAGAGTCTAGACTTGTTTTCAGAATAAGAAGTACATTTCTGAAAAATAAATTAACATCTAGCCAAATTAGTTTTGTAGTGTTTAATCACAAGGTGTCTGCCGCTCCTTGTGTAAAGACAATAATTATGGTTAGGCATAAATGAAAGAATTTGCAACAAACTATATAGTTATCAGGTACAAATCCAACACCTGGTTGGATTCAATTCCTTCTTCTTTAAGTTATTTAGTGAATTTGCTTGGGTTGATGTTTATTTTTACTCTTCATGCAATCATCATTAACAATACTCAATAGCTCCAGACAGAAATGAGTTGCTGTTTTCAAATAACTAACCTCATCCAAAGTAGCTATCTTGAGTGTCATGTCCTTCAGGTTTCTCATCATCCTCTCATCTCGAAAATCATAGGGAAATATCTCAGTCCATTCAGCCAATAGCTGCATTATTTTTGGTGCAAATTTTCTTATTTTAGCCTAGAATCATCCAGAAAATTGTGCTTAATTATTGGACTTACAGAGATGACAGACATAAATGCAAGATGTGTACTAATGTGTACTTTGTCTAAATAACAATATTAGCAATAATGAGGCATGAACATATGTAGACATTAAATATCCCTTCTGTTATTACAAATTATTGGAAAAAAATCACATACATCAAATAAATGGAACCTTACTCCATGAGTCATGAGAGGGAAGACTCCCATGATTTGTTACTTTATTGATATTTGCAAATTCATCAGTCCCAGGTAAACAGAAAATCTCCCTTGACAATCTTACCTTATCTAAAATGGCCTCATTCAGTCGTTGTTGCTCAATGCACATGAGGCAAACTTTCGCGAGGAGCTCATGTGGCTGAATAAAAAGACGTGAGCTCAGCAAAAAGGTAAATACGTATGTTCTCTGGAAGAAAGAAAGACAAGAAAATCTCACACAAAGAGTCACAGCCTGATTTGTGCTTAAATATCCTCTTCTGCAACAGAACACATTTGGAGACAAGCCTTAACTGAAAAAAAAAGGAATCTCTGGGGGGTGGTAGAAGGTAAAAGTCCGAGAAATCTACTCCTCTACCCAACCCATCCATTTCCAACTTTCACTGAGGCCAAAAGCTGAGGTGGCCAACCTGATTCAAGAGGATGGGCTGCAAACTTCATACTAACGAGGCCAGAAATCTCACCTTTGGACTGTAACAGCATGCAATTGGGTTTCCCAAACCATGAGGAACACAGCAGCTCCCTCTCGGCGAGGACCTAGTGGACTCTGCAAATAATAGCCTCACACTTACCCTCTGAATCCCCGAGAATTCTCTGCCACAGGCACCCTGCCCTCCACAAGGTCAATAGGCTTCCATTCAAGGTCTCCAACCCCATCCCCATTCAGGTTCCAATCTCTCTCCCAAACATGGCAGTTATTGTGCCTTGCTCAGCTGAAAATTCATTTCTTTCTTGGCCTGTTTTACAGAATTTTTTTACTGCACCTCGTGGACAATGGCATTATATATGTGGTGAGCCTGTACATGGGAAACACATCGACAACTAAAAAGGCCCAAGGAAGAGCTGTTCCTCCCATAACATCAAGAAAATGAGAACAGAAATAGATAGGGTCATGTGAGGTATGGAAAGACTTTACGTGAACAGGGGGAAACACCCAACTTCATTTAACCAAGATTTTGCAGTAAGAATAGGGATCCAATTTTGTATACAATGATTAAACTCAAATTAAACAGCATGGCTGATCTCCAGGGAGTATCTTAATGCAGGAAAGAGTAGAGGGATCAAACAAGTTAGAAGGAATCACAGTGAAGGGGGTCATCCCAATCAGGACCACTTGCCGAAAGATATGAGACACAGAGGGGTTAGGGGTACGAGTTACAATGATCACTCCTGGGGAAAATACTTTAAACTATCTCACGGCCAGATTTACATCGGGCCCTAAGAATGGATTGCTCTAACTCCATCAGGGAAGATTTTTTTGTGATGATATACACCATGAAATCATACCAGTGGTACCGCACCTCATGAACAGCAGACAGGAATCAATGCTTCATATAAAAAAGACCCCTTGAAAGGGATATGAGTGGTGTAAACCATCAATAGGAAAAATTGAAGTGAACATGATACGGTAAGAAAACAGAAGAGAAGGAGAAGCCTTATTAAGGTTGGAGCTACAATTTGAAATGCAGGGACCTCCCTGTCTAACAGGAAGTTTTGGCTAGCTTTGATCAGAATGCTGGGGATTTCATGATAACCTTAAATATAGCAATTTTTGTCTTAGTATCCCATTATTATTAGTGTTTTGTTGTGAACTGATCTTTTATATCTACATACTTATTTGTAGATCACACTAGACAGTCCTGCATAGAAAGATGGGCAGAGGGAGGTTGAAGAAAGGAAGATAACAATGATCAAAGACACAATTGAACAAGGTTAAAATAAATCTATTTTTCAGCTGTGCTTTAAAGAAAAGGTTACTACATGCAAATTGTGGATAAGGTAACTCAGTATGTGGGCCTGGCAAGATACTAACAGACATCGTTTTCCTTTAAGAATGGCTTTGTAAATAAGTAACTCTATTTCACTAGTTGAATCTGAACTCTGTGCATCCTGTAAGCATCGTTTGAGGTGGGAAAATTGCCAGACAAAAAGCCAAGATGAAAGGGGATTGGATAATATGTGCCACCTTGTTGGACGTCCCGAATGGCGTTGTGATGTTTGGTATGAGTAACATACTTCACACTATAAACACCAGAAGCTTAAGAGAGTCGGGGAAACAATCATCAGGGAAGAGTGGCCTGGTTGACAACTAGAGTTGTGCAGACAACTTGTTCAATGAATCCACCACCCAAAGATAGACTCTTGCCAACTCAAAGGCTAATTGCTTATAATAGTTATATATAGTCTTAATAAAAAGATATTTGATGAAACTAACATGCTTATTCTGCACCAATGTGTATGCAGAATTAAACCAGAACCTGGTGGGGATTGCTGAAAATATAATTTCAGAAATGTACACTGTTATTGATTAATGCAATTAAACTCACTCCCTCAGATTAGTAACGTCGAAATCTGAATCACAAATCTAACACAGAAATTTGCATTTGCCAAGTTGGCATTAAATATTTATACTTAATGTGCTTTTATAAGATAGACATGCTGATTCACAGTCCTCACTCTACGCTAATGACCATTTCACTCTCTGCAGGACATTGAAAGCAAAACAATAGGAAACTTCCTAATTATGCTTTGATGATCATAAATAAGGATGGGGGGCGGGGGGAAGCTTTGATAGTACTCAGTTCCTCTGCCTGTCTGCAGTTTCCATGAAATCTTTTAATTATTTTGTTGCCTAAAAACTCTTATTATTTTTTACCTCACCTTAGCTCCCAAGAAGCCCAAATACACCAAAAATGGTGTACAAAAAAAATGTTCAGAAAAAAAATTACTCCTTTCTTCCAAATGAAAGGCCTGCATGGCTTCTTAGAAAAAGTAGCAAATAGGTAGAAAAATCTCATATTTGCCCTGTAGCCAAATTTATGCTGTTCCCATCACAACAATCCTATATGCTTTGCAGCAAAGTTTAAGAATGTACAGTGATTATTATTTTAAAATATTGGATTCCTGTTGAACTGGTAAAAGCAAGTAAGTTACCATTCTCAATCCATTCTTACTTTAAGCTTTGATACGTAAGCATAATTTACACTAAAGTCATATTCCTAAAATAAGTAGGTTTTTTTTAAGGACAAGAAAATCATTTTTACTAATGCTGCGAATAGACAGAGTGAATTACTCTTGGTACATCAGCTGTTTCACATCTCCTGCTTTGATCAGTGCTAAAGGCCAAATTACTTCTGTGCCACTGTGCCACGGTGGAGATCTTTCCACAGGCACACATTTTTATGCAAAACAATTTCACTATGAAACACAGTTGAATTATACATACATCAGGATAATAGTCCACTGTAGGCACAAGGTGTTGGATCAGTGCCTCCAAAGACCCTGACACGAGGTTGTTGTCATGGTAAAACAGACCTCCATAATTCTCCTCGCTGGATGAGTATAGGTGTCGGCTGTAACCACTGCTGTTAAACATTGCTGCAAAGGTCGGTGTTTGTGGCATGATTTCCTGCATTTCAGAGGAACAGTGAGAGACATTGTTTATTAATAGTTTATAAATCAATGCAGAGGTCAGAACTGCTTATTAGTAATGATGCAGACTGGATAATTTCTTTGTGAAACTGAAGCCTGGTTCACATTTCCTGGATATTAACATTAGGGCCATCAATCGTTCCCATCCCTGCTTATAGCTGTCATATTGTATGTTGTGGCAATGGCTTGCAGCATTATATAAGGAGGCCTCATCAGGTTCCTGAAGAAACCTGACAGCTAACCGTTTTGCATACAGTACAAATCCCTGTTTCAGGGTCCCAGTAGTGATGGAGAGTCGAATTGAAGTTCCACCACTAGGACGAATTCTGGTCATTCCTTTCTCTTGATGAAACTACTTTGAAATTGCAGAAACTGTCACAATGCACTTACGTCTAATTAAATCTAGTATGTGTAGCGCAAGGACAAAGAGCAGGTAGACAGCCTGCAACCCGACAATGCTGTTTTACCAATTTTTTACTCCTTTGTCTACTTAGGTTGTCTAACCTTTGCAACCCACACCACCTCCTCCATTAAGAAAATGGCCTACTAGCTGAAGTAAAACTCCAAGTATGTGAAATATGATCAGATATTAGTAGATAATACTGCTAGGCTATTCAAAGTGACTGATTAACAATCATATATATTGGGCAAGATTTTAGCTCATTTAAAAGCCAACAATATCCACACATTAAAATCATTAGTTATAAAATGTAAAAATTAGGATATTTAGAATGTTACATATTTCTACAAAATGTAGTTTTGTTAAACAGCACAACTTGCATATTGTATCCTAAATCCATATCAGCTTTTTAAAATGTATTTTTAAACAGATCAGCAAAATTGTTCATATAATCTAAATCTAATGATAATTGGTGAGTTGAATGTGTTAATGGATATCTTTCAATGGTAATTTGTCTTAAACACCCTGTTCCTGTACTATCGCTGTTGCAGTTTTGAATTTATCTTTAAATTCTTCTTGAACAATGCATTGTCACACCAGCAGATGTCACCACAGAGAAGTTGGATACAGGTTAAAATCCTCCACTCAAGTGGGTTTCTGACCTCAGCCACATGACTGAAGAGCAGAGAGGTGACTTTATAGAGCTGAATAAAATAGAAACCAAAGCGATAAAAATAAAATTGGTTTCAATTCAATCATGAGAAAATGGAACATAGAGTGAAAGTGGCAAAGGGTACATTAAATGAATGATATCAGGAGGTTCTGCTTTATACAAAGGAGATAAATACCTGGCTCAGATAAAATAGTGGAGGTGATTGAATCACCCAAGAATTATCTGAATATTACAATAGGAAGAAGAACATAGGATTTTTCTGGGTGAACAATCTAAGGCAGAAGTAAAACAGAGAATGCTGGAGAAACTCAGCAGGTCTGGCAGCATCCGTGGAGAGACAGGAACCAAACAGTCACATTAGATTTGAAACATTAACTCTGTTTCTCTCTCTATGGATGCTGCCAGACCTGCTGTGTTCCTCCAGCACTTTGTTTTTATTTCAGGCCTCCAGCATCTGCACCATTTGCTTTCAAATTAAGGCATGTCTTCCTAATCCACAGGTAGCCTCTACACATTGCCAACTGTTCATCTATGACAGGCAACAACCCAAACATAGTGCATCAAACTCACAAACATACTTCCCTCTACCTTGTATGACAAGATGGCGTGTTACTGCAGATAGCAGGAACTAACCAGCAGAAGGCGACTACAGGTGCAAGTCTTGAAAATCATGGAGGGCTGGTTATTCTTGGAGCGGTCACAACAGAGGGTGTGGCTAATGGTGACGCTGAAACTATAGAGGATGGTGTCATTCTCTGACCTAATGCGCCTTACTCGCACCCTGCCTTCCCTCATCCCATTATCCCTTGTGAGCTTCACGGAGCAGATGGCGTGAGCATGTGCCTCTTACTTTTCACTTGGTTCCCTCACTGCAACCCCACTCTTGTGCCTTTATATTTACACCAACACGGGAACTACCACCAGGGTTAACCACTGGTGTGCCACCGTGAAGTGCAAGAGGAGCAAGAGACCAGTGAGGAAGAAGCACTCACTCTCACACCTCCACCAGCTCAGGTCCAGGAACTGCATGTTCCATAGAGGAAAACTGCACATGGTAAGGCACCTGGCATGGACTGGTTGCAACCAGGGCAGGGAAAAGGGTCTCTTGAGGGTGATATCTCACATGAGTTCTGCATCAAAAGCCTCCATTGAGGACTCCACCCTGGAATGCTTGGTGCACTGGCTGGTCTGCCAGAAAGCTTGATGTAACTGTCAAGGATTTTGGAGCAGTCCAGTTTCCAGTTTGGCAAAGAGCTTGACACCCACCCACTCCATCGTGCAAGTGGTGGAAAATTGCATTACAGCATTTGCAAACTCGATCACATGCGTGTTATGGTTCCTTTTGGGGGGGGGGGGGGGGGGGGGGGGAGGTGGTGACAGGCTTTCTCAGTGACTACCTTCCCATGAAAGGTGAGGCCAGGGGCGCAGTAAATGGATTCTAACATCTGCACTCAGCAGAGTGCTGAAATAAGGCCTCAGTAATTCCCTCGGAGATAGCAAGAACTGCAGATGCTAGAGTCAGAGACAACACAGTGTGGAGCTGGAGAAACACAGCAGGTCAGGCAGCATCAGTGGAGTCAAAAAGTTGACGTTTCGGGTCAGGACCCTTCTTCAGGACCCTTGACCTGCTGCGTTCCTTCAGCTCCACACTGTGTTGGCTCAGAAATTCCCTCTTCCCTCACCACTATTAGATACGATTGGACGATGTATGTGTGGAAATCGAGGAGGTGGACTGTGATATTCTTCAACAAATTAAGAGAGAGAGGAGATATGCACAGTTTTTGAGGGCTTCTAAGTGGATAAATCCGCAGGCCCAGGTGAGATATATCCCAGGCTGCAATGGGTGGCAAACGAGGAGATTGCAAAAGTCTTGATATTAATTTTTGTATCCTCTGTGGTCACAGAAGTAGTGCCAGAGGACTGAACGAAAGATAATGCACCATTAATCAAGAAGGCTGGTAAGGATAAACCAGGGAACTACAGGCCAGTGAGTCTAACGTCAGTAGAAGGGCAAATATTGGAAAAAATGCTGAGATATAGAAATAATTTCCATTTGGAAAGGTATGGACTAATCATGTCTAAAAAATTTGATTAAATTTTTATGAGGTGGTCACTAGGTGTGTAAATGAGAGCAGTATAGTTGATGCAATGGACTTCAGTGAGACTTTTGACAGGGTCTCACATGGTAGACTTGTTAAGAAGCAAGAAGTCCATGGGTTCCAGGGTAATTTGGTGAACTGAATCCAAAATGGGATTAAGTGGCAGGAAGCAGAGGGTGACACTCAAAGTGTGTTTTACTGACTGCGAGCCTGTATTTAGTGGAGTACCACAGAATTCAGTGCTGGATCCCTTGCTGCATGTTGTGTACATTAATGACTGAGACATGAATGTAGGCAATATGATCATCCAGTTCACAAATGACACAAAAATTGGTGATGTGGTAGTGAAGAGGATAGCCTTAGACTTTAGATTTTATGTCAAGGTTCCTTAATGGCTTTGTTTCAGGCTTATATTTCCCATTAACCTATCCAATTTATTTACCAACCATGTATGTAAATCAAGCATTTTGAGCATTGTTCTTGTATATTTAAAACTACTCATTTCTAATTATTTCACTGTTTAAGCCATTCCCCTCTACCTTGACTTTAACTGCTTCTCTGTCTACAAAACATCAATTTGATTCTAATCTTCAAGTTTATAAAAGTGACTTTATCACTGCCTTATCAGCAGAACAAAGCAGGCAAGCAGTTATACGGAACGTCTTTATTTCGCTCTATTCTAGGTATGGTGATAGATGAGGCTCCTGCTCAACTCCAGAGTGGTGTCATCATTAAGTACAAATCAGAGTCCCATGATGTAATATTTTGACTGGCTCCTGACTGGAATTCCTGCTAGGCTTTTGCCTCACAGTATCGCATAAGGCTGCCAGCAGCCTGTGGTATGAGTTAACATCATCTCTTATATGTCCCTCGAAAGCTTGTTTTCTGCATGAATGGCATCCTCACCTAAATCTCCCTTCACTATTATGAACCGATCTTGGTTGGTTTTATTTTCACAGCACCTTGACCCATTTCCTAGTTTATATATTTTGTTACTTTTCTATTTCACCATTTTACATCCTTGTGGAATGGTTCTGATCTATCTTAGAACTGACCCAGTGTTCAAAGAAGTAGACTGTGCCTCCCTGGTATTATATCTTCAGCCATTCATAGGCATTCCTGTCTTCATATTCCTGACTTTCTCCATTTTAATGCTTGGCTGGGGTCGTAATCCTTCTGTCTGAGAAACCGATGGCTGTGGCTAATGACTGGACTAAGTGCCATCGCTAATTCTCCTGTTTATCCTTCTGGGAAGTGAGGTGGGTCAAAAAGATCAAGTGTCAATGGGGGAATATTTGGTGGACATAGTTATTGTAAGACGAAGGATAGTGATAGGAGAGGACAATAGGCAATCAGAGGAAGAATTATTCACTGATGAAGATCCAACGTCAAGGGAACAAGAACAAAGCTGGTCTGCTTAGACTGGAATGAAACTTTGGTGGGGGAAACTGAGCTGACCAATGGACTGCCTTCAAAATGAAATGGTTCAGGCATACTAAAGGTTTATTCCTTCAAAAGGAAGACAGATATGATGATTCTTATGACAGGTATCAGGTAGAAAATATAACTGAGAACCAACAGCAATACAGAAGGGTCAGGGGAGAGATGTAAAAGCAAATACAAAAATCAAAGGCGGATTATGAGAAAAGGCTGGTGACCAACATTAAGGGAATCCCAAAGTGTTCTGTAGGAAAACAAATAATAAAAGGATGGTAAAATGAGGAGTAGGGCAATTAGGGGCCAAAGAGGACATTTATATATGGTTTCATGGGGTATGACAGAGGTAGCTAATGACTATTTTGCAT